CCGCCATCGCAAGTGTACTCAGGTGTGGGCCTGAGCTCTCGGCGTTGCAAAAAGAAATGAAAGTCCTCGTCGCGCCTGCTGTCTTTTTCCGTTAGGCTGACGCCGTTCCGAGTCTCCTGGGACCCACGCCTTGGGAGGGGTGTCCGTTCAGATTGCATGTGTATATGGATACATATGTACACATTTCTATATCCACGCATTATGCATACATAGCCGTAGCACCAGGTACACAGCTAAATGCTTCCCGTTTCCCGTTTCAGAGCGTGCGGAACGATCAGGCAGTATCGATTATTTCCGTAATTTTTCAAGTATCAGTTTTCGTAATGTTTCCACATCGGAAGAATTGTTTTATTGTTTCTCGTTCTATTTGATTGTGTTTTACGGCGCTCCGCTCAGAATGTTGAGCCATATACGGCAGCATTCTGAACACTTGCCCGTAATATTTCTAAAGCTTTGAAATTGGGTGGTCGATTATTTGAATAGTCTTGCAAGTGTGCCATTTTATAGCTGCCATATTTGTTTGCATACTTCGGCCGTATTCCATGCGTGTCGTTACGGTTGTTACTGCGTACATGCATTTTTATGTATACATCTATACACACACAAATATTGCAATATGGTGAGCACACCCCGTGATAGTGTGATGTGTTCACACACCGCCAGAACGTTTTTCTAGTAACCGCCCGCGTGTCGTGTCGGGTTTGGTAATTGACATTTTTGTTTTGTGTTAATCTCAAACGTTCTCATAATGTTTCGTTGCGTTTTGTTCAGAAAGTACAGAACAACACAATTCTGAGTACTTGTCCATCGCAGTTAAAGCTTTTGTAAATATTGAGTGGCCGATCGTTGACTAACCATTCCAGTACAAGGTGTGGTAGCTAGTACACTTTGGAATACCATTCCACCCGTAGTTCCCATTGTGTTCCGATATAATATATGTAGTACTAGACTGTAGTATGCTGGCTCAGTTTCCATAAGCTCCACCAAATTTTCACGCACTGAGTGACCAATTTTTTGATTAATCACGCACACGAGCGACTCCGTCATATGAGCACATTCTTTAATTGTCAGCGTTTCTCATTGCATTCAATGCTTTTTTTGTGACATGGTCTCGCACATATTTCGCAAGGTGCACGTTTTTTTGTTGTAGCAATAATTTAGACATGTCTAACGATTGAGTAGTCGACTGTTTGACTAACGATGCACGTGCACGGTTTCGGCATATCCATGCTATCCATGCAGTTGTATTCGCGTATTGCATGGCATCTCATTGTGCATTTTTGTTATTCCGTTCAAGTTGAGTAATCATGCCAGCACATGATTTGGCAACCATCGTAAGTATTCGTATGCTATTATGGTCGTTCTAGCTGTGCGACGTCCAGATATTTTTTTCCGTTCATCGTTCCCCAATCAGAGCTTGCCTCTGTAAGGGTCCTAGCGGATTCATATGGTTAGGTGAGGTGGGGGCCGATTTGGTGGCCGGTGGCCGGGTGCCCGGGTGCCCGGGGGGTGCCCAGGGGTGCCCGGGTGTTTTTTTTTGGTGGCCGGTTGCCGGGTGCCTGGGTGCCCGGGTGCCCGTGGGTGCCCGGGTGCCCGGGTGCTCGGGGGTGCCTGGAGGTGCCCAGGGGTGCCCGGGTATTTTATAGCCATGTAGCCCTATAGCCTTATAGCTCTATAGCCCAATAGCAGAATAGCCCAATGGCTCACATAGCCCATATGGCCTTATAGCCCAATAGCCCTATAGCCCTATAGCCCTATAGTCCAATAGCCCATATAGCCCAATTGCCCAATTGCCTTATAGCACTATACCCCCATAGCCACATAGCCCTATAGCTCCATAGCCCTATAGCCCTGTAGTCCTATACTCCCATAGCCCCAGCCAAAACCTGATTGGGGCTTTTCTCTGGTATCATATTTGGTAATATATTGCCGTATCCTGCTGATGTTTCCGTACTGTTTTTCAGGCTTGTTTACACATTGACATTGAGCATCCGAGAATTGTCGGACTGTGTCTTAGGCGGTATTGCGCAAGGAAGTACATGTATATGTAGGGTTATTGCTATAGTGTCTTTCACCAGTGGTCCCAGACACATTGTTGGGGTCAATGTATTGGATATAGTTGTTGTAATATGTATGAAGTCACTTGGGCAGAATGATTAAAATGTTTTTGCGCGTCAAGCGATCATTTTTAGTTGTCGCAGTAGAAATAGTTTCATACAGATCAATTCTTCGTGATATTCGTGTTCTCTGGGCACAAGTGTAGTTATTGAGCTTGAATTATATGTATATGTAGATGTATCAAACATTCAAATATTTGAGAACGTTGGCTTGCGGCGATGCAGGGCCCAAACTTGCTATTTGTCGCTTCTGGGCCGTTTGTTCGGGAGTCTGCTGGAGTTGCCTGCCCTGGCTGCGTGTCTGCTGTTTGTTGTAATTTGTTGGGTTCCGTCTCTGGGCTTCAGCGCTGGCTCCTTGAGCCTTCAATCAGGCGGCCGCGCCGCTGCAAGACACTCATTTGTTAATTGTCGGTTTTGGGCCTGCTCTTCGGGATTCTGTCTGCCTTGCCTGGCCTGGGTGCGCGTCTGCGGTGTGTTTGAATCTTTCGGTTCCGTCTCTGGGCTGCAAAACTGGCGTTCCGCCCCATGGGCCGTAATGGGCCCCTTTAGAGCCTTTCCTCCAGCCATCATTTACCGTCAACCCACTTAGTTAGGATGAACAAATTTTTAAGGTTACCCTTGCATCCTTTCCCTTCGGCCCATCCTTGGCCGCTTTCGCTTGCCGCGCCCCGCCCGCAAAGTGTCGACATGGCCGTCAAAGGCCCTTGCATCCGTATCGTGCGTCCTTACTAGACGGACTGACTGTAGGTCTCTCCCATCCTGACCCACCCGGATTGTTTTTCTGTTTCAGCTGGGTCTGTTCCTGAGGCGCCCTGGAGGTCGGAGCCGAGGAACATTGTTTTGGCGAAGAGCCCAGCCATATGCATTGTATCGCCGTTGTGGGCATCGCCTTCAGTGGATCTCCTGATGGGGTCGCGAAGCGTGTAAAGGACGTGCCAAAATGGGGCGGGACGCATGCGGGCGCAGCCATCGGGGCCTTCGGAGGCGCTCCATATGGGGCCACGAAACGTGTGAGGGGTGCGCCGAAAGGGAGCGTGGCCGCCATGCGAACGTCACCGTTGGGGCCTTCGGTGGAGCTCCCTGTGCGGCCACGAAGAGTGTAAGGTGTATGCCGAAATGAGCGGGGGGGACGCATGCAAACGTCGCCATTGGGGCCCTCGGTGGCCCTCCGCATGGTGCCGCGAAGCGCGTGAGGGGCGTGCCGAAATTGTTTTGGGTGGCGCAGGACGCGTGTGATCACAGCCACTGGGGCCGTCGGTGGAGCCCCGTAGGAGGCCACGAAGCGCCGGGACGCATGTGGTCACAGCCGGGGCGACGAGGAGGAGAGGGAGGAGGAACGCGGGGCGCTCTCTCGCCAAAGCGAGGACCCTACACCACAGGATGGTCGAGAGAAGCGCCAGGGCTGGCAGACTGCATGTCGTCGGAGATCAGGGCCCCCTTTCCATCCATGAGGAGGAGCGCACAGACAGACAACCATCGACACCTCCTCTGGAAAGCATGGGAGGCGTGGTAGGGCGGGGGGAGGCGAGCACCCAGTAAGCATCCAGGAATACACATATGGGGAGTCCTGGGGCCTATGCTTTGTCAGTGTGTCCCTGGGCCCCTCCGTGCTCGTGCCACGCGGGCGTCGCCCCCCCCCCCCCCCCTCCCCCCAGGGGCGACGCTCGCGTGGCGCATACAGGGAGTCCCCCTGGGGCTTGTGCTTCTTTGTCAGCGTGTGCCTGGGCCCCTCCGTGCTCGTGCCACGCGGGCGTCGGCGCCCCCCCCCCCCCCAGGGGCGACGCTCGCGTGGCACATCCAGGGAGTCCCCCTGGGGCTTGTGCTTCTTTGTCAGTGTGTCCCTGGGCCCCTCCGTGCTCGTGCCACGCGGGCGTCGGCCTCCCCCCCAGGGGCGACGCGCGCGCTTGGAAGTGCACGGGGGCCACGCTCGGCGGCGGGGCCCCCTCGCCGGCCGGACGGCCCGGGCGGCGAGGTGCCGACGAGCTGTCGGTGCGCCAGTGCGCTCCGCTCGGGCGTGCGCCTTCGAGGGGGGGCGCAGAGTCGTGCAGTGGAGCCTTCGGTTTTGGACGACGATCCACGGAGAGGAAGCATGTTGCCAAGTACTTTCCAGATGTCCAGATCGTATTTAAGACACGTCTTCAACATGGAAATGATGTTGTGAGCTTTCTAGAACATGGGTCCGACATTTCAAGCGTATTTTGAATTCAGCGACAGGATTGTTGGGGTGTCCATTGTCATGGCATCCGCAAGCCTTCGGCGTCCCATTCCAGGATGGGCAGCGGGGGCGCCCCTGCGCTGGACCAGCCTGGCCCGCGCAGGTCTCTTCGGTCTGTGCCAGACCCCCACCCGTGGAGGGGGGGGTCCGGCGCCGAGCCGAGGAGGCCGCGCGGAGCTCCGCGAGGTTCTGCCCGTGCCGCCCGCCTTTCCTTTCCCCATCCAGGAGGGGCCCCAGGGGCGTGCTCGAATTCAGCCCCCGCCGGGCCGGTTTTCGAGGCACGCGAGTGGCGAGGGGGGAGGGGGATCGGCCGTTGAAAGCGGCAGAAAAGCTGCCAGACAACAGACGAGCATTCTAACGCGCCCACTCCCCTGAGATCCGACGATGCAGAAAAATGCAGCGTCACACCGCGACTCATCATGACCAAAGCCCTGGGCCCCATCTTCTGCGCCATTTTTCAGGCCGGATCGATCTGCGAGGGTCCTGGGGCCAGCAAGCGGGCGACACCCCGCGCTGTGAAAAAGGATCGGCGCCAGGATGTCAGTCTCCGTGAAGGCATGGTGGCGGATGTCCTTCTGTGTTTATGTTGTCCCATGCCCACTTGAGCAGTGCATCCCAAGGGGGGGCTCGGGCACCCCGCTCCGCGTGGACCCCCGCCCACGCTGGTGATGCCTGCCCCTGTTGGCCCCAGTCCTCTGCGTCTTAGCATGGGGAGGACTTCCAGGCTGAGGTATAGGCCTGCACGTGGCAGTTCTGCTTCCCGCCCCAGGAGGGGCGGCCGGGGCGCGCTCGAATTCAGCCCGCCGGGGGAGGACCCGGCCGCCGCCACCGCCGGGGCGCTCGGGAGCGCCCTCGCGGAGGCGCGCGAGCTCTGCGCGCGCGCCGGGGCGGTCCTCGGCGGCCCGGGCGCCGAGGCGGGCGGCCTGCACGTGGGGATGCGCTGCCGGGGGAGGCTCGGCGGAGGAGCGGAAAGTTGGGCAGCGAGTGTCGTGGGGGCCTTTTACCAGCCTCGAACTTATCCCTATCCCTAAGATTGGCACGCCAAAAGGCGATGACAATCTTAGGGATTCGCCCTCGCACAATAAGGGAATCCCTAAGATTGGCATCGTGATGAGGAGATGCCCAGCATAGGGATAGGGATATGTTCCAGGCTGGTAAGCCTTGGTGTGACCCCTGCTTCGGAGGCACCTCCTGGGAGGTCAGAGTCTGATCTTGCCCAGGTCCGACATCCGCCTTCCTCCGGCTCCATCCCGCTGGATTCTGCTTATAATCTAGCTTGATCCCGTTCAAACCCTCTTATAATCCACAGCCCAATCCGGCATATCAGCCCCCTTCTGGCGAAGATTTCCCAGTAGTTTGCCTCCTAACCCTGCAAGTCCGTCTTTAGAGCGCATGGGCGTCGTTGAGAATCTGGGAATCGCTGAGATGGCGCCGGTGTAGCGTCGATATGAAGACCCAGGCCTCGACGGCCTCGCTCGTCGGCTTCCCAGCCTCGGATGCCTTCCATCGGTTGTGCCTCGCCGAGAGCGTTCTGGGGGCGCCCAGATCGTCCCGAACAACCGCCGGAGAGCCGAGCTATGACCCGAATATCAGATGGCAACGTCAGGTGGAGGACATGCTCCGGGGGGAGCGCATCGACCCCCAATCAACCAATGATAGCCAACAGGCGCCCGAGAGCCCGCCACGCCCAGGAGCGTGCGGAGTCGCTGCGGGAGCCTACCGCCGATCTATCGGCGACGTATCGCTGGTTCCAGGTCGACGGTTCTCTCCCTCAGGTTCAGGGGAACAAACAGTGACATAAACATAAAAACTCGGAGGTCCGCGCGGATTTCTCGAATCGGCGCTGGGGCCCCCCAGCGCCGCCTCCGGCGCCGCCCCTGGCGCGCTCCGCGCGCCAGGGAGGGGGGTCCAGCGCCGATCCGAGAAATCCGCGCGGACCTCCGATCTCGAATCAGGCGCTGGACCCCCCTCCCTGCGCGGAGCGCGCCAGGGGCGGCGCCGGAGGCGCCGCCGGGGGGCCCCAGCGCCGATTCGAGAAATCCGCGCGGACCTCCGAGTTTTTATGTTTATGTCACTTTTTGTTCCCCTCAGGTTGCCCCTCAGGCCACCCGCGGGGGCGCGAGGATGCTCGCGCTTCGCGCCTCGCCATCTGGGCCAGCGCGGGGGCCCTTCTTCAGGGGGGGCGGCGCGCGAGGGCGCGGGGGCGCGAGGAACACCGCGCGTCGTGTAGTGGAGGCACATGCCAAGAATCACCCTGCTTGCCTCGAAGAATAATAATAATAATAGGAATAATAATATTGAAGTCCTTCTTCTTCTTATTATTATTCTATTATATTATATTATATTCTTCTTCTTCTTCTTATTCTTCTTTGGGTGCCCCGAGTTTCTTGGGCTGCGATGCTTTTGCCCTGGAAAGCGCCGCGCTCCCGCACGAAGGATCAGCTATCCTTGGACGTCCTGGGGTCTCAGGGCTGGCTTTCTTGTGGCAGGTTTCTCGTGGACTGGCCTCCGCCGTAGCCGCGCGTCGTCCACCGCGGGGCGCGGTGCGCGAATGCAGACAGACCCTCGGAGGTCCGCGCGGACCCCTCGGATCGGCGCGGGGCCCCCCAGGGCAGCGCCTCCGGCGTCTCCCCGGGCGCGCCATCCCCCGGGGCCGGCTCCTCATCCGAGTCGTCTTTGGGACAGCCCCGGGGCCCGGCGAGGGCCCCGAGAGGCAGTAGATCTCCTCGTGACCCACAAGGGCGTCCAGCTGAAGGGTGGTGGTGCAATAGATTTGGGGCAATTGTGCTGCAAATGTGTTGCGCCCGAGAATTGTATTGCATCGTATTGCAAGTAATGTACTGCACGCGAAAATCCAGCAATTCGTTTGCCCCCCGACATGTATTGCAAACACCAAATCCATTGCAACCCCACAAATCTATTGCACCAAATCTATTGCGCCACCCCCTTTTCGCTGGACCCTCTTTTGGGTCAACCAGAAGATAGCGACACATCGTCCGTTGTGTTTTTTTCCACGATGTGCGGGGTCTGGGTTTGTTCTTCCAGAGGTGGATGGACGGCAACTTCTACGACGCCACAGTCCACAGGTCGGGTGTTGCTGAAGGTGTCTCTGGCCCATGGTACCCCCAGCTATTCGCTCCATTTTGAACCTCCCGGGGCCCCTCGGGGCCTCGGGAGTTGTGCTCTGGAGGGCGTGGTGGTCCCCCTGGAAATCCTGGGGACACCCTCCCAGAGATTCGACGTATTGTTTTGGTTACACGACGGTGTTCCCGGAAGTCCTGGCCCTCTCCCCAAGACAGTTTTTTGCATCCTGAGCTGTTTTTGGACAGTCCTGGGGCCCAGCGATCGGGCGACGAAATCTATACCCACATCCACTGTTCCCTGGTCAGGCCCATCCTGCACCCCGGAGCTGTGTGTACGCACTCCTGGCCCAGCCGGGAGGGCGTGGCGTGTACACAGCTGCTGGGCTGGGTTCAGGATGGGCCTGGCCGGGGAGCAGTGGAGACATCCACAGATCCGATCCCGTCGCCCGATCGCGGGGGGGGCCCCTGTTACCGAGGGCGACGCCAGGCCTCTGACACCTGCTCGCTGCTCGATCCTTGGGTTAAGTCAGGCGTGTCCCTCTACAGGAGGAACGTTCAAAAATTGTAGAAAAAATAGTCTGGGGATTTTTTTTCGAGTGTTCTTGAGCATTTTTGGAATATGTTCTGACTAGGGGGACAGGCCCGACCTAATCCTTGGGGAGCCCTGGTCGGGCCAGGGGGGGCTTTTTGGGAAGGTGGTTCCAAAGTTTTTTTCCACAGAGCCCCCCCCCAGGGGCCTCGGAGCCTCGTCAAGAAAGCGGGTGCGAAGCCCCTGGGGGACCCCTCCTGGAAAACCCCTTCCCCCCAACCCCCCCTCTGGAACCCTATGGTGACGGGGCCAGGGGTTCCGAGGCGGGAATTCATACATGACCACCGCCTGGAGGGTCAGTTTTCGGAGCGCTGGCAGGCGGTGGAGATGGACATGTTCGGGCCCCCGGGGGCCAAGATATATCCACATCCGCCGCCCGCTGGGGCACCCGGACGTCGGTTCCCAGGCGGTGGATATGGATAACTCCCCGCCTCGCACAGATGGGTTGTCCTCGGAGCCGTCAGGGGGTCGCAGCCCTGGTCGGGCCAGGGGGGGGGGCACCTCCGCGCAACGCCCGAGCGGCCTGGGCAGCGACGGCGCCGTGCTGCTGAACTGGCTGCGCCCGCGCCCCGCGGGGGACGGGGCGCCGCCGCTCGTGACGGTGAGCGGCGCGGCGGGGGGCGACGACACGCTGCACAGGCCGCGGGGGGGAAACCGGCCGCGGGGGCCTCCTCCTCCTCCTCCTCCTCCTCCTCCTCCTCCTCCTCCTCCTCCTCCTATCCTTATTCCTTATTAGAATATACTCCTACTCCCCCCTCAGGCCGGCAGATAGGGGCCCCATCCGGGTGGTCCCATCCTAACCTGTAAAAAACAATACAAAATCAACATTTTTCTTATTTTTTCCTCTCGACATGGACGTCCTGTCGTCCACGGCGATAATCCATTGCAAAAAATACCACAAAGAGCACACGCGCGCGTTCATGTCAGAATCCTACCGAACACCGTGTGTTTGCAAGCATTTCAACATAAAAACATCAAAATGCCAATGCTTTTTCACAAACATTCTACAAATTTCCTGCCCGGGTTCTCTTGCTGAAATCATAGGAAAACCATAGGAATCTTAAGAATTCGGTCAAATCCAGCGATTTCACGTCATCGCGCGGTGCACTCGCGATGCTCTGTCATGCACCCAGGCCGCGAATCCTGTGCAAAAAATACCACGCGGGCGACATGCGCGCGCGTCGCCGCGAGCGCATGCTCAAATCCTTCTAGAGTCGTCGCCGTCATTGGCACCGTCGCATGGACGTCCTGTCGTCCACGTCGCAAAATGCATGGCAGGAATGGGACGCGGCGCACACCCCGCGCCCGCCCATCCAATCCGTCCCATTCTAATCTGCAAAAGACAATACACAGTTTCTGTTTTTCGGCATTCAACACGCGCTCGCCAGTTCCCGTCGGCAACCGCCATCGCGGCCGCATCAGCTGAACCAAACCGGCTGGCCGGTGTGACTTCGGCCCCCAGTTGTGCCAGCTATGCTTCTTATGTTGTGGGAGGGCGGGTGGGACTGGGCATGCCATGCTTGACTCGCTCGAG